GTAGGTGCACACTGAGCTCGTGGACGGCACACAGCAGATGGGGTAAACCGTGCCATCAAGTGGAAAATAGACCTGTTGTGTTGTCACAGAGACAAGTTACAATATAGTCTGCCCACCGGACCTCCAGGGGAAACTGAGGGAGTTTAACACCTAGCTGCTGCAGCAGGGGGATTCTTACTGTGCGTTCACTGCATCAGGTAGATGATGCTTCTGTTCACAAAGCCCCTCAGTCATCAAACTAAACTTTTTATCATCTAAAACTTAGAAAATAGAGATTCTTGGCCTTTTCATATAGGTTCCTCCTGATGATATATTTAAACAATAGACCTGCATGCACTGTTAGTTTAGATGTAATCATGCAACATGAATATAATAAGCATCCCGACTCACTGCTGCCACCTTGTGCCTCTTTGAGTCATGGACCCACAGTGCACTCAAGTTCTGATCCACAGTTTGAATCTTGTTTTCTTGATCACTTGTTTTCTTGATCACTGCAGTTTTGCACAGAGACACACACACAGACAATCCTTCATGCTGGCAGAGCAGGATTTTGCTTTACTCAACTATTCAACACTGCTAATATAATCTACGAATACCTCTCGCTTTATCCAAACAGTCGATGGAGGAGAACTGATGGTGCTGTATTTTATAATTTAATATTTTTTTGTATAAATCATACATTTTGTTACAGGGAAACATTTCAACACAGTTGCTTTGTACAAAAGTCATTTCAAAGGCTTAAAGGAAAACAGTCATAATAAATTCCTATACTTATTTCAAACATGTACTATGCACCGTCAAGGATGTTTTATCTGTTTGTCCTGTTTGTTCGTAGGAGAAAACTTTACTGACTTCTATGACATTTTTAGGAGGAGTAGGACGTAAGGAATTTCATAGATCATGTTAATGGGAATGATAATTATATCTGTATGCAATTTGGTGCAGACCCAAAGAAGGATCTGGATCTAGTGAATTTAATTGTGGGGACTGTTGGGCCTTGGCGGAGATGCTCGATCAACAGAGTGCCATTCCAGCTTCTAATGTAGATTAAGGGGTTGCATCACACAAAACAAAAAAGCACATTCCCAGTTACCCCAGCATCATTTAGCCATTAAGACTTGAATGTTGTAACTGTTGCTTAAAACAGTTTTCATCAGGAAACATTTAAGCACTGTAAACAATGAGGTGTGTTGATGATCCTGAGGAGGCAGGACATTCTTTCTGGAAGACACAAGATCTGCACAACAAACCAAACACCTTCATTGTGTTGTGATAGAGGCAGAAGTCTCAGACAAGGATATTATAAAAACCTGGATGAACAAAACCAAAGGCTAGACAGAGCTGGTGGTAAGTGGGAAAAGGTTTGGCGGGGGAAAATTGGGTGAACTGTTCCTTTAAATTGACACTTAACATGCAAAATGAGATGTTTAATTCAACTCAAACATGTTTAAAATGTTTCTAAATGAAACATAAGGTTTACGACACAAGGTACAAACAACACAACACACTCACAGTACTTTGGTTAGAATTGCTTTTTCTAAAAACCCAGATTCTTACAACACCCCAAAAAAGTGCAGTGACATATTTTGGACATGAGGCAGCAATTCTTAAAAAGGTACATGGCTTTTTTCAGTTATTTAAACATTTTCAGTTCCATCTTGAATATGTATCTTACATCACATTCAAACTTGAGTGCAACACATTCAGGATTTTATCGGATTGTCTGACAGCAGCTCATGAGCGTGTGACTGCTGACATGTAGACACCTGTAGCAAAGAAATGTTGATTACCATCGATCGAATGTTTTCAACATTATTTACTGATGAAATGTACTAAAAATGAATACACTGATTTTAAGTTCTGGCCTTGTTTGAATATTTGACACTTGAGTTTAGACATTAACATCTCATGAGCTAGGTGCTGATATCACCTACCTGCGTCGGGCAGATTCATGACCCTTTGGTTATATCTGGAGATTGATAAAAGGAGCGAACCCCAGCACGTCCTGAAGAAGCACCAGAGCCCTCTGCAACGGTGGCTCCACATCTATCACAACGTTGCGCTTCCGTAGAGGATCGAGGCTCGCCTCTGTCACATTGTGGCAGTGATTCACCTTCAGGGACTGTAGCTTTGGGCAATACTCTGCAACGGTTCTGTGAGCACAGCATGCATAAGACATTATGGATGGTCACACAAATGAGACGATACGTGTCAAAGTGTCGACACAAAGTTAGTTGGATTCTCCTTGAGAATAAGATATACCTGATGGACTGGTTTCTGACCCTCAGGCAACCCGTCAGGTCCAGCTGCTCCAGACCCCTGCAGTTCTTGGCCACCTCCTCCACAGACTCGTCAGTGACGTTGGCATTGACTGCCAAAGATAGAGACCTCAACTTCAAGCACTTCTTGGCCAGGTAGCAGATGGCATCGTCCTTGAGCTGGCGGCAGGCGGTGATGTCGATAGACTGCAGCCCCCCGCAGTGGTCAGCCAGGCTGCGCAGGGACAGGCTATCCACCCACTCGCAGTGCGCCAGGCCGAGGTGCTGGAGGTGCATGCAGCTCAGTGACACAGCCACCAGGGAGTGGCGGGTGAGCCAAAGGCACCCGCTCATGTCCACTTTCTGCAGATGCTGGTTCTGGCCGATGATCGGCAGCAGCTCCTGGTCCGTCACCCAGTCGGAGCAATTCTGAAGTGACAGCTTCTGGAGAACTTTGCTGTCCTTTAACATGGAACAAAACGCTTCCTTGGGAATGCATTGTCCAATCTGTCACAGAGCAGAACGCAGACTTAGTCAAGTACTGCAAACAACATGCCTCTCAGTATCTGCAGGCCTTAAAACACACTTAATCCAGATCCCGCAATAAAAGGTTATCAAGTATTAGAAAGTACGATAAATCATTTACAAAGTCATGTGTACGTGGGAGACACGTGTGTGAAGGAGGCTTTTATCACGTCTGCCAAGGAGGTTGTTTTCATATGAGTTTATTTGATTGTCTGTTAGTTTGCAGGATTAGGATAAAATAAACATTTTACCATGAAACATGGTGGAAGGATTTTTACTTTAACTTTAGGAGTTTGGACATTTTTCCACATTTTCATTGATTTGTCATTTTCATTGATGGAGCTTGATAATCCTGATGTTTAATGGACTGATATTTATAAATCCAAATAAAAATCTAGTGAGGGTTAAGGTTAGTCAATCTAGAGAACTTAAATGTGGTTTCATAAGGGGCCTTGGCAGACATATGGACTCTACTGACTACTGCCATTCTAGTTATTATCAATATTATTGAGAAGAACAGTTGCGAAGAGCTCATTTTAGTGAAAACTTAAATCAGTTTGTAACTGATTTATCTATCAATCTTCTGCCACATATCTAGGTCCAGGTTCAATAGATCATAAACAATCTCATGCAACTAGGAAATGCATTTAAGTTCAAGTAAAATCAGAGGTTATAGGAGGCTTTATTGTGTCTGTAAGATCTCTGACAGGCATGACAGTGAAATCTGTGATATTCAGCTTCACTCCGCATTGAACTCAGAGGAAAACAAAGTCCACACACTCACCGGGGACAGATCGAATGTCCTGCAGTCGGCCAGATAGACCTGGACGAGGCTGTGGAACTGCTTGCTCACCCTCTGCAGACTCACCACGTGTTGCAGGGGCAAGTAGCACAAAATGTGAGGGACCAGGACGTCTTCCCAGGGCAGATCCAGGATCTGACATCTGCAGAGGAGACACACACACACCTCAGTGTTAACAGCTGTCACAACAACAACAACAACACGGCCACATGCTAACCTGTGGGGTTAAAGGGCAGGAGAGCAGCAGCGGTGTTACACGAGCAGACTGGACTCTTTCCACCTGAGGTGTCACGGTTTAAACAACCTAAGACGAGTCAGCTTCCATGTTTACATGGTACAGACTAACGGGCTCAGTGGCTCGGCCGTTGTTGCTATCGCTACTAGCGGAGAAGCTAACCTGCCGGGGCCACCGACCCGGGGCTGGATTTTAAATGAAAAAGCTGCATTTTAAAGCCACTCACGTCCGTATCTTGTCTTCTTCGCTCATTCTGAGTCCGGTTTGTTAGACACAGTTTTCCAGCATGTGTTGTTCTTCACACAGACACAAAAACAACGCGTTTAGCTTTAGCATCTTTCTACCGGCTGAGGTGTTGCCCAAACCCGGGGCTGCCTTCAAGGACCGTCGGAAGAACGAACGGCAGATTCACAAGACCACAATGTTGTATGTTAATTATTATTTATCATTAACGTTAATAATTATAATCATAATGAAAGAGATCGTTCTAAAGAAACAACAAGCACCATTAAAATCCAACAGTGTTGTGCATCAAACTGAATCATGAGAGGGATACAAACACAATCATTTTATACAGTTCAAATAATATATCTCCAAATGTATCATGGTCTGCCCTGAATAATAATAACAATAAATACCATGTGCCCATAATGCACTACTGCAAAAAACATAATACACCATGGACAATGCAAAAACAAATTCTGGTATTTATGGGGGGAAAAGTCAAGAATTGAGGACACTAAATATATACAGCAAAAGTATTAATTAAACGTCATATCATTTATATTTAAAGTGATTTGAGTCTAATATGTCATCAAAGGTGAAGGTGTTTATAAGGAACAAGTGACGCAGCAATATATCAAACATATAAATACATTTTTTGTCAGAATTTAATTTCATATATCCACAAACTGTCAGTCTTAAAGAGGAAACAATGCAGCTAAAATGAGTAGAAACTTCTATATGTCCCCACATGTTTGTTTTGAGTTTCAAACTCCCAGCTGCCATCAGCTCCTCTTCCTGATACATGTGTATACAATTGACCACCCTGCCAGCTCACCTCTGTCCAGAGAAACAATGAAGTCAGTCATGAGGAACAACTGCTGACCCATGAGTTATGTTTGCGTGAATGAGATGAGCCAACAGGAAAGCAGAGTGAATACTCACTCCTGACTGACTAACAGTCCCCTATACAGGCTGGAGCACAAACATGGCGAATAAATCAGTGTATGATTTCTCTGCTGAGACCCTGGACGGACAGCCGGTTCCGCTCTGTAAGTACATGGGTAAGGTGCTTCTCATCGTCAACGTTGCCACCTTCTGAGGGTCAACAATAGAGGAGGTAATATCCCGCGAGAGCCCTGATTGATTACGGTCAGATCATAACAACACGAGCTGTGTCACTTTTATTACAGCTGTTTGCTTTTGTGTCCTGTTCCCTCAGTACCACCGACTGAATGCACTGATGGAAATGTTTGGTGACCTCAGCTTTACTGTCTTAGGATTCTCCTGCAACCAGTTTGGTCTTCAGTCACCTGGTGGGTTCAGTGAAGCTTCTGAAATATGACAGATTGTAAATCTGATAGTACAATAACTGTATTTACTGCACCGAGAGAAATACTGTACTGTGGAGCCTCCTTTCATCCTTTGTGGAATGTGCATGTACTCAGGTTATATTATTTTTTGCTTCATTTAACGATTTTTTGCTATTCTATACAATGGTAAGCAACTACAGTAAAATGCCAATTATACGATGGGGCCAGTTCTGTGCATAACAAGTACTTTTACATTTTGTATTTTACACAGTACACAGTTTTGTTTAGTTTCTTACTGTTTTTACGTTAATGTATTGGTATTTTTATATAATTAAAGGGTCTGAATGCTTCACCATCTCTGACCTACGTACAGTTTGTTTGCATGCTCACACCATAGACATCCAGCAGATGCACTCACTCGGCCAATCACGAATCAGTCTCAGCTGTCAATCATGACATTTGGCTAGTTAAAACCAACACTTGGACAAACATCAGCACAAGAACTATCTATCTATCTAAAATGTGTTAATCATGACGCTTTGGCTTCACTTTTGGGAAGCCATGATGTAATCCATCTTTATATTTAGTCTATGGCTCACACCTACATTTTAAAACAGGTCATTATGGTTTATCTGTTTAAAATAAAATCAGTAATAACACTTTTTTTTCAGAGGTCAATCATGAAACCCTCAATATTCTGAAGTATGTGAGACCTGGAGGAGACTTTGTGCCAAAGTTTCCTGTCTTTGGCAAAGTTGAGGTGAATGGATTAAATGAAGAGCCTCTCTTCACCTATCTGAAGGTAGTGTGTTTTACACAGGATCACATTTCTGGTCATGTGGTATATTTTTTTCTGTCAGAAGTGCAGCTGTCACTGTGGTCATTTCTTTTTCACCACAGGAATTGTTGCCGTTTGTGAACCCTGTTATTGGAGATATAAAGAAATTCTACTGGTCCCCAATCAAAGTCAATGACATCCGGTGGAATTTTGAGAAGTTTCTCATAACTGCTGATGGCCTTCCCTTCAGAAGGTAAAGTAACATGGGCTCGGGAGCTCCATGAGGTCTCATGCATAACATCTAATATTTTCCCTTTTACTGCAGATATGAACTTCACTGCCCCATCGATAAGGTGGAAAAGGACATAGCAGAACTTCTCTGTTGAGTTTCTACAGTTGAACACCAGTGGCAGAGTGAGGATCCCCCAGTAAATGCACACATGCACCTGAGCTGGATCTGATGGGAAGAGGAGCAGGACTCAGAGCTTCAGTGCATTCACTCTGAGAACAGTTCCCTTCAGCCACTGGAGGAGTTTTCATGTCACTGTCACACTTTTCTCTAATGTGATGGGCTCTGATACGTGAATTAAATAAAGCATTAAAAAACAAATCTTTATGAACAGTTGCTTTTGTTGTCATCAACATACTCGAGAAATATTATAGTTAAAACTCTCTCAAGATCTGGTCCCAATTCAAAAGCCACGTCGGACTACATGCAAATCTTCTCCAGTCCCCTTCTAATATTTAAAATTGTGCAGGATTTCGTAACATTGTGTGTGTATGTATTAAATCTAATAATGTAAAGTAATCAACAAATTAAGATGTCAGAAAAATGTAGTGAAGAAAAGTACAATATTTAAATCTGAAATGCAGTGGATAAAAAGTTGTATCTACTTATTTGCTTTAACTTTGATATATATATATATATATATATATATATATATTTATTAAAATGTTATGTGTAAATACTATGGATACATTTTTTTTCACAGTAAATGTTTATTTATGTATTGTCTGCATTAAATATATACGCGTATTTTCCGCATTAAATTGGTCCTTATGTCGACCTGTACTTCCATCCTTGCGCATGCGCACCGCTCATTCTGTCAGACAGTAAACATGGCTGCGGTTGGTTTCCGACGCTGGGCCCAGGCTCTCTGCAGAGGGAACCGGTCCGGCCTCCCGGCCCTTGTGTCGGGAAGCAGAGCGGGTGAGTCGTGTGTTATCTCTCCATCTTGCAGCGTGATGAACTTTTCTGTGGATACGAGCGTGAAAATGTAAAACTCAAGCCCCTGAATGGACGTAACCTTGACATGCTAACGTTAGTTTATGCTAGTTGAGCGGCTAATCTGAATGAGAGTGAAGGCGGCGAGATTAGCTTTGTCGTTTGTATATATTTATTCGTCTTAGAGCTTTATAACTTTAACTTGTGTTGTTCTTTGCTGATGTTTCAGCCTCTGGTGTGTCGAAGGATAGTCTGCCTGGTCCGCACCCGCAGACCCCAGAGGAGAGAGCAGCTGCTGCAAAGAAGTACAACATGAGGGCTGAGGACTACCAACCGTACCCTGACAAGGGAGAGGGGTGAGCTTTATTTTGAAAAACTCTGCCTGATTTCTCTGTGGGTGCTGAAAGAATGCGTGCAGCTCGTTCTTTGTTTTGTTTACAATGAACACTGACATAGATATTTCATGCGATCATTGTGTTTTTGTAGCTTCGGTGACTATCCAAAGCTAGATGATAGATCTCAGCATGAGAGGGACCCCTGGTACCAATGGGACCATCCTGACCTGAGGAGGAACTGGGGAGAGCCGGTGAGTTACTGATTTTATTTACTGCTCCTGGAAATATTTGGTTCAGTTGACTACATTAATTTATCAGGGGACGAACCCTGAAAATTAATGAAATCACACAAGCTCAGTAAAACTTACTAATTTAAATCACACCACACCTTTTTCTAAGTAAAAGCATACATTCAGTATTGCAAAATTAATTCAATACAAATACTAGTGTACTTCCCTCCACATGCACACTGCCCATCCCTCTCTAATCACTTAGTGTGTAGATGGGCAAACACAGAATCATTAGATAACATACATATCTTGGATCCAATAAAAGCTAAATAGATAAATCAGCACTCTTGAGAAGTCATTAATAATACATCATTAAAATGAATATTGGCCAATTAAATGTTTTAACATTTAATAAAAATCCAGTAAGGCCAGGCTGTAGTTTTTTATTTTGTATCTTTACTTATGGCTTTCCGATATCAAATGCACATTAGTTGCAACATGATATGCAGTCTAATACTTGAGCAATGAAAAGTCAGAGTTCATACATCACAATGGATAATGTACATGCAAGGTACATGTATTTTTGTGTCCTAACTATATGGAAGCCATAAAAACAAGCATAATGTCAAAGTGCATGTTATCAGTCCTCAGTGAAGTAATATACTGGTATAGAGGCACTTCTTTCATCACTCAAGGCAGCGCCGCTGTGCATTTAACATTTCACTCAAATTATGAAATAAATAGTTATTACAGTAATATTTTGTCCAACAAATATTAATCAGCTACTGGTCTCTGTCTATTTATAGATGCACTGGGATTTTGACATGTACATCAGGAACCGTGTGGACACATCTCCCACCCCTGTGCCCTGGTCTTCCATGTGCAAACAGCTGCTTGGGTTCCTCGGATTCATGCTGTTTATGTTCTACCTTGGGGAGAAATTCCCAGCGTACCAACCTGTTGTAAGTACATATCAAGGCTTAGAATTACATGTTCATATCACAAGTACATTTTCAAAGAGTGTTTTTAATGACTGGAGGAGATGATTGTCTTGTGCTTGCAACACTGCACTACAACAAATAACTTCTAATATCTTTAAAAATGCTTGTCTTCCTTTAAATTTTCATTTTTGAGTAATGGTGTGATTTTAAACATTTATGTGACTACTCACAAAATAGATTATATACAGTTTTACTCAGCTTTACAAGAAAACAGACAATATATATAATGTACAGTTTTTTGTGCATATTTCCAATTGCTATGCTTACTGTGATTATTAACCCATAGTCATTGTATTTACTGTTTTTCTTTTGATTGTTTTCAGTAAATCTGTGTTGATACTTTTTGCCATGCATTCACAATGTCAGCTGTTCTGTGAAAATATATATATATATATATTTCCATTTACAAAGTAGTCTGACGTGAGAAAATGCACTTGAGTGAAAGCACATTCCCATGAAAGTGTTTGTTTGTGTTCCAGGCAGCGAAACAGTTTCCCTACGACAACCTGCACTTGGAGAAAGGAGGAAATCCTGAAAAACAGCCAGAGGAAGTGAAAAACTACGAGATCTAAAGATTCAAAGCTTCTACTTGTGTATATATCTAAAATGTATTTCTGTGAAGAATAAAAACCTATGATAACAGTTAAAGTGGTCGTGTCTGTTTCTCCCACGTGTGTAAATAATAAAAAAACCTTAGCAGATATATTCTCAGTGACTGAAAGATGAGATAAATCCAGGTTATGTATTTGTGGAGCGGAGACAGTGGGGTTAACCCAGGCCATGCGCGTATGAAACGTGATCCGTGTCGGCCACCGTAGCGCAGTGACAACACGGCTAAGCACTTTGCTCGGACTTCGCCTGTGGCTAAGCTGTTAGCTCCTGAGTAGCCTCCCAGTTTGTTGTGGACAGTCCGGCTGTGCTAGACAGTTGACGTGAGTCACTCTAACACTTATATTTGTTGATTCGTGTTTCTCTGGGTTTAAATCTGACGGATACTCTGCGTTTCTGCTGGAATGGGTGGCGGCTGGTGACTAGCTTGCTAGCTCGCAGCAAAATCGGCTCCGGTTATACACTGGACTTAAACCACTGGGGAGGATGCTACGCTAACCTGTTAGCCAGCTAGCTACATTATCACTGTTTCTATGCAGTGGTGTGTTTTAGCTATTAACAGTTCCTCGAAAACTACTTAAGTCTTGGATAATGGCCGCAGTCATATTGTGTTTAACGTCAAATGACGCTAACGATAATACGTGTGTTTGGAGCCGCAACGATCAGGTTATGCTTCTTAAAATTAAAAGAGTGTCGTCGACATTTGAATGTTGACAATATCAGCGGTAACTGCATCGATTCCTAACAATTTACTGACACCAGATCGTAGTATTAATAATATTTTTATGGTGGCTCGGGTTGGTTGCTTTTGGCCAATTAGCATTAGCCACAATTCCAGGAAATAGTCGGAGGGATTGTGTCAGTAAGGGTGGAACCCTGTTGCAGTTAAGTCAGGTAAAGAGATGGAAAATGTGAATCCAGGTTTGTGAAACTGAAGTTAAACTCTTTAAGGAACTCATCAAGGAAACGTCAGTGACAATATTGAGCGACCTACTCGCATTACAGCTGGTGAAACCGAATGTTTAAGACCAATGTTATATTTGTGAAATCTGTATTTGATTTGTGAAATCAATGTATTTGACTTTATTTGATTTGTGAAACCAATGTAATTGCCAGCACACAAAGATGTCTTTGTAATTTTAATGGAGAAAATACATGAATCACCTTTTTTTTTGCTTCAAAAAATCGTCAGATTTTATCTCACTGATCAGAAGTAGTACTCAAAATTTCATTTAAGGGGTCCAAACATCTGTCCAGGACTTGGAACTTACTCGGAGGAAGATGAGGCTGAAGGAGATCCAGAGGACTGCCCACCAGGCATGGAGTCCTGCAGAGCACCATCCCATCTACCTGGCCTTAGGGACATCCGCACAACAGCTGGATGCCTCATTCAACACCACCGCTGCCCTGGAGATTTTTGAGACAGACTTTTCTGACCCCTCTCTTGAGATGCAGCTGAAAGGGTCATTACCTACCACAAACAGGTAATCAAACAGAGCAGTTACAAAAGCATGATATGTTTAGATGGCAAGATGTATGGAAGCAGAAATAATGCAGACAGTTTTAATTACTTAGTGCACTTCAGGTTAAGCTATGAGTCTGTCATTTGCAAATACTTCACTATACATTTAATATTCCATAGGCTGCACAGCATCGTGTGGGTGAACTTTGGAATGGGACCAGATGGTACTGGAGGAAGACTTGTTGGTGGCAGTGAAAATGGCACATTGACCGTGTATAACCCAGAGGAAATAATGAGCTCTGGAGCGGAGGCCATCGTGGGACAGTCTGACAAACACACAGGGCCCGTTCAAGCTCTTGATTTCAACCCTTTTCAGGTAAACGTCTGAGCTCCTAATCTTCTGTCTCCTGAAGGATGATTTATATTCTCTTTCCTGGCACTATGGTGGATGTTATCAATCTTTTATCAATTGCTTCCTCTCTCAGAGTAACCTGCTTGCATCTGGAGCCAATGATTCAGAGATATACATCTGGGATCTTAACAACTTTAACAGTCCAATGACACCCGGAGCGAAGTCACAGGTGGGTGCATGATTGGGAGAGCACAGGTTTTATGAAGTTTTCACATGTGAATGTTTGTTTTCGACAGTAACAGCCTCCATCTCTTCTTTCAGCCTGCAGAAGACATCAGTGTAGTGTCCTGGAACAGGCAGGTTCAGCACATC